TGGTGGAGCGATTTGTCTGGTTAATTCCGATAACGAACGAGACTCTAGCCTGCTAAATAGGCGTACCTTATGGTATCGCGAAGGCCCCCGGCTTCGGCTGGCGGGTTTTTACTACCAATGTACAAACAAATCTTCTTAGAGGGACAGGCGGCTTCTAGCCAGTGTTCCGATTAGGGATTCCGTGCGCGCGCATATGCGATTCTGCGCATGCGCGACTTTTGAAATTACATTGTACTTTCACGGTCGCGCAAGTGCAGAGCCGCACATGCGCGCGCACGGAATCCCTAATCGGAACACTGCTTCTAGCCACACGAGATTGAGCAATAACAGGTCTGTGATGCCCTTAGATGTTCTGGGCCGCACGCGCGCTACACTGAAGGAATCAGCCGAAAGGCCCGGGTAACCCGCTGAACTTCCTTCGTGCTAGGGATTGGGGCTTGCAATTGTTCCCCATGAACGAGGAATTCCCAGTAAGCGCGAGTCATAAGCTCGCGTTGATTACGTCCCTGCCCTTTGTACACACCGCTCGTCGCTACTACCGATTGAATGATTTAGTGAGGTTTTCGGACTGGTGCGCGGCAATGTCTCGGCACTGCCGATGTTGCCGGGAAGATGACCAAACTTGATCATTTAGAGGAAGTAAAAGTCGTAACAAGGTTTCCGTAGGTGAACCTGCGGAAGGATCATTAACGTTCCGGAGGTCTTGCTCTGCGTCGAGAGTGTTTTTCGAGACGCGCGCGCTCGCAGCAGTCGGCGACTGAATGGACGAGAGAAAGAAACACGACGTCTAACACACAGAGACCGAAAGGAAAAGAGAGAGAGAGAGAGGAGAGAAAGAGGAACGGATGTAATAAAAATTGCGTCGACGCGCGCGACACGATGTCCGGACGCGCTACGCGCGCGGCTGCGCCTCTGCGACAAGCAGCAGCGCGCGCCACGGTGGCGGTGTCCGACGCGGTCGTCGTCGAAGTCGCTCGCGTGGGGGACAAGCGTTTAATAATATCCGAGACGCTCCGTCTCTCGTTGAACGTTGAAATTCTCATTCTTCGAACGAAGAAAAATATTATATGCGATACGAGGTGCCGAGACGCTTTGACGCGATCACGCATTTCGCTACGAACGGAAGCGTCAATTCGGCGTTAGCGCGAGCGAATCGCTGGTAACCTACGCCTATGCACTCACTCTCAACATGCTACGTTGCGTGTCAGCACTCGCCGTCGCTGCGCGCACTCACCGCTAATAGCCGGGGCAGAGGCCAGCGCGCGACGCGCGACGACCGAACGTGCGCGTGAGGTGTGTGGCTGACGGGCGAGAGGATGCCCTATACGTGGGCGCGTCCGATGGTTTATTCAAAGAATTTTCCGCCCCGGCTCTTCGCCCGTCGAACGGCGGGCGAAGTGACGCTCCGATCGCGAGAACCAACTTTGTGTCGTAGCCTCGATCCCTTTACCGGGATTGCGGCGGCGGTCCGCGCGTACTCGGACGCACGGCCACGCTGATCGTAGGGATCATGATTTTCTCACTCCTCGGAGTGGATACCACGATGGATGATGAACTGTGAAGCGTTCGACGAACGCGACGAATGAGAAAAACGATTACCCTGAACGGTGGATCACTTGACTCGTGGGTCGATGAAGAACGCAGCTAATTGCGCGTCAACTTGTGAACTGCAGGACACATGAACATCGACATTTCGAACGCACATTGCGGTCCACGGATACAATTCCCGGACCACGCCTGGCTGAGGGTCGTTTTAACAAACCTAAACTGCTTGCGCCCCTTTACGCGAAATTGCGTAAACGGCGTACGAGCGATCGTTGGACGTTCGCCCGAGAGAGAGACGCACGAGCCTCCGTCGCCCTCCCAGTCCCTCTGGTGGTATTGGAGACGGGTTTCGACGAGGCCGCCGCCCTCCTTAGCGTCGTCTGAAATGACACCGAAAGTGTGTGTGCAGCGAGAGGAGTTATATAAAAAGGGAGGAGAGAAGAAAGCCCCCGAAGCGTGTACGCACAAAAAGCGTTTATAAAAAAAAGGATAGCGAAGCGCGCGCGAGCGGCGCCCGGAGGATGTAGAAAAATATATATACAGGGTGTCCCATTTTAATCCATCCAGTCGAATATCCCGAAAACCAAGTCCGAGAGAGAAAAATGTTTCAGACAAAAGTTGTATGGTTTCAATGGTGCCATAAGAGGATACCATTGGTTTGACCCTGAAGAGTCATTTGAAGGTCATGCAAAGGTTACTTTGATTTTTTTAAATCGAACACCCTATATATTTTTGCATATTCTTGTAGCTCATTTCGAGAGCTTTCCAAAGCACTATAATAAAGTATTTCTTCATCGAGCACTTTTCCAGTTATGAGACTTGAAATAATTTCTTAATTTTACATAAACCATAAAATATCTAGTAAAATATTCATTTTACTCAAGATAAATGCCCCACCCTGTATATATATATATATATATTTTATATATTATATAGAAAGGAGAGAGAGAGAGTTGTTCGTCGGAGATAAAGAAACGACGACACACGAGAAAATATGCGAAAACTATTACGAGAGGAACGACGACGACGACGCGCGACACTCGAATCGTCGCTCTCTACGAGTGATCTCGTAGTTTGCGAAACAAATGCAAAAAGAAAGCGGCGCCAGCAAGCATCATTCTGCGTCCGTCTTTCTAGCGCGTCGTTGTTTCTTCCGATCGCGTCGTCGCTCCGCGACTCTCTATCTCTCTCGGTGCGTCAGCGCGCGCGCGATACCGCGCCTTTTACACACGCGCGAGGCTGCTTTCGCCTCCTGTCTCTCGCGGCGCGAGATACTCCTTACGGTAAAAGTATATTGGAGAAGGGAAACCGGCGCGCGCACAGTCGTCGTCCAGCGGTACGCGGAGGGAGAGAAATTGCGAGAGAAGTCCACCCTTAAAGCGGATGGAATCGCGAGCCGACCGCGTGTCCGAGTCCACGAAATTTTCGAACGAAGATTGTGACCGGCACGCGTCCGTCGTGTACTAGTCGAATCGATTCCATACCGCGCCCGTTATATATACACACGCCGTGCGCGTGTTATATTATAATCGTGGAAATTAAGAGGGACGGAAAACGATATAATAACTCTCTTCTCTCTCGCGTCCCCGCGAGAACCAACACACTAGATTGTGCCGCGCAATATCGATGGTGTGTGCGGTTTAGCGTTAATATAAAATGTGGTATATAACAATTAATAATTAAAAAAGTATCACTACTTTAGCTAGCAAAATATAACCCATACTCTCCCTATATCTCTGTATATCTCTTTGTAGAGTTTCTCTGCAAAATTCTCTGACGACCTCAGAGCAGGCGAGATTACCCGCTGAATTTAAGCATATTATTAAGCGGAGGAAAAGAAACTAACTAGGATTTCCTCAGTAGCGGCGAGCGAACAGGAAAGAGCCCAGCACCGAATCCCGCGGTTCCGCCGCAGGGAAACGTGGTGTTTGGGAGGATCCGCTTATCCCGAGGCGTCGCGTCGCGTCCAAGTCCATCTTGAATGGGGCCACTTACCCGTAGAGGGTGCCAGGCCCGTAACGACCGGTGCGCGTCTCGGGAAGATCTCTTCTTAGAGTCGGGTTGCTTGAGAGTGCAGCTCTAAGTGGGTGGTAAACTCCATCTAAGGCTAAATACGACCACGAGACTGATAGCGAATAAGTACCCCGTGAGGGAAAGTTGAAAAGAACTTTGAAGAGAGAGTTCAAGAATACGTGAAACCGTTCAGGGGTAAACCTAAGAAACCCAAAAGATCGAACGGGGAGATTCATCGTCAGCAGCGCTGGCTTCGCGTCGGTGAGCGATGTCCCGCGGAGTCCTCGCGGCTCGCGCGCGTGCGTTGATGTCCGGCTGTCGTCGTCGTGCACTTCTCCCCAAGTAGAACGTCGCGATCCGCTGGGTATCGGTCTACGGCCCGGGTGCGGTGACTGTCGCGTCGCCGGTAAAAAGGTACGCGACAAACTCTCGGTCGCCCGGCCGGCTGCTCGACGGTACGCGCAAGATATCAGGCCGCACTTCTACACGGTGCGTCGAGGCCGTCGCAAGCGCGCGCCACGGTACTCGGAGGTTACAGACTTTGCGCCGTCCCCGGTCTTGACCCGCTGTTGGTTAAAGTACGGATCACCTTCGACAGGCCTGCGAACGTCTCTCTCACGGGGGACGGATACCGGTCGGCGATGCTACTGCTTTGGGTACTCTTAGGACCCGTCTTGAAACACGGACCAATGAGTCTAACATGTACGCGAGTCATTGGGACTTGTCGCGAGACCTAAAGGCGTAATGAAAGTGAAGGTCGGACCTGGCCGTCGATCGAGGGAGGTTGGGCCGCGTCGCGTTGCGGCCTCGCACTCCCGGGGCGTCTCGTTCTCAACGCGAGAAGAGGCGCACCCAGAGCGAACACGTTGGGACCCGAAAGATGGTGAACTATGCCTGGTCAGGACGAAGTCAGGGGAAACACTGATGGAAGTCCGTAGCGATTCTGACGTGCAAATCGATCGTCGGAACTGGGTATAGGGGCGAAAGACTAATCGAACCATCTAGTATCTGGTTCCCTCCGAAGTTTCCCTCAAGATAGCTGCAAGATAGGCACTCGGCGTTCCACACGGAACGCTCGCGAGTCTCATCTGGTAAAGTGAATGATTAGAGGCCTTGGGGCCGAAACGACCTCAACCTATTCTCAAACTTTAAATGGTTGAGATCTCTATCTTTCTTGAATTATGAAGTCACAAGCATCTCGGATCAGAGTGCCAAGTGGGCCATTTTTGGTAAGCAGAACTGGCGCTGTGGGATGAACCAAACGCAGAGTTAAGGCGACCAACTCGACGCTCATTGGACACCATGAAAGGCGTTGGTTGCTTAAGTCAGCAGGACGATGGCCATGGAAGTCGGAATCCGCTAAGGAGTGTGTAATAACTCACCTGCCGAAGCAACTAGCCCTGAAAATGGATGGCGCTGAAGCGTCGAGCCTATACTCTACCGTCAGCGGCAAGTGGGGCGGCGACGGGAGTGTTGCGCGCGTCGGACCGCGTTTGCGGCTCTCTCGTGAGGCAATCGTCTCCTTCTAGTCGTCACGAAGCCCTGACGAGTAGGAGGGTGAGCGCAGAAGGGTCTGGGCGTGAGTCTGCCTGGAACCGCCGTCGGTGCAGATCTTGGTGGTAGTAGCAAATACTCTAGCGAGGACCTGGAGGACTGACGTGGAGAAGGGTTTCGTGTGAACAGCCGTTGCACACGAGTCAGTCGATCCTAAGCCCTAGGAGAAATCCTATGTCAATGACGGCGTACAATATACTCGAGTGTCGAAAACAAAGATATATATATATATATACAGGGTCTACCAAAAGTGTGGAAACCCCTAAATATCTCGGAAAATATACGTTTTACAGAAAAGTGTTTCCAACAAAAGTTGTAGGGTTTAAGAAGATCTATATACTGATTCTATCAGTTTGACCTTGGATGGCGTCGTCAAGGTCAGGTCAAGGTCACATTGACTTTTTTAAATGACACCCCCTACATTTGATTGCATATTCTTATAGCTTAATTCAAGAGCTTTCCAAAACACTATAATAATGTTCATTTTTATTAAGTACTTTGCGAGTTATGAGGGTTGAATGATAGAGTAGCGCCGGTATTAACATTATCCAAGGTGTACTACATGGAGGTTACTCGCTCGGATTTGCATCTGTTGTGTGTGTGATCCAGCTAACTAAGGCAAGATCGATTCCTCAACATATCCTCATATTTCGCTGAAGTCAAATTGCCAAAAAATTGCTCCATAAAACGTGTATGAAACGTCTCGTTAGTTCCTTCATTTACCGCTATGTGACGCACTACATGCAGTCTAACTCGCATTTAAAATTCAACTAAGAATGTATAAAGCTATCAAAGAACGAGCACCTTCTAACTTCAGCTTTGAGCAAGCAGAAATTAATTGTTATCGTCCAAATACAACGTACGATTAATTAAAATTAAACGTTTTAAAAATGGCTGGCGACTTGTCGGAACGTGAAAGAATCACTATCCTCATGATGCGTGGATGGGGTGATAACGAAAGATCGTTCTCTGATGTCGTTCGATTATTTAATGACACGTATCCGAACCGTCGAATTAATAAGTCCACTGTGTTAAAAACAATAGAACGTTTTAGACAAACTGGTAGCGTAAGAAATCGCTCTAAGTCAGGAAGACCATTGTCTGCAACCAACGAAGAAAAACAACTTGATGTTCTGCAGACATTTATTGAAGATCCCAATTCTAGTGTTCAGAGAGTCGCTCAAACTCACGATATTGCTCCCATGTCGGTTTGGAGAATTTTAAAGAAGAACAAGTTCCATCCATATAAATTGCAATACGTTCAAGAATTGCAAAACGGAGATGAGGAGCGTCGTATACATTTCTGTGAAAGAATGATGGCACTAATAGATGTCCGGCCCATCTTCCCTTATCAAATTGTTTTCACAGACGAGGCAACTTTTACCTTAACGGGAGAAGTTAATAATCAAAATTTTCGTTTCTGGTCAGATGAGAATCCGAATTGGGTGCGGGAAACTCACACACAACATCCACAAAAAATAAATGTATGGTGCGGAATAATAGATGGCTATTTAATAGGGCCGTTTTTTTTGAAGAATATTTGAACGCTCAAAGGTATGAGAGATTACTTGTTGATCAAATAATTCCAGCCATACAGAATACTTTTCCAAATAATTTCCAAGAAATATGGTTTCAGCATGATGGAGCTCCTGCTCATTTTGGTGCAGGACCACGTCGTATTTTAAATGAGACTTTTCCGCTACGGTGGATAGGAAGAAGGAACGGAAATGAGGGAGGAGAGGATTGGCCACCTCGGTCACCAGATCTAACTCCTCTTGATTATTATCTATGGGGATATCTGAAGAGTAAGGTTTACAGAACAAAACCTAAAACCATTCACGAATTGATACAGCGAATAAGGGATGAAATGGCTTTGATACCTTTTGAAACGAATCGTAAAGTCATTTCTACATTCTACCAAAGATTAGCATATTGTCAGGAAGTAAATGGCAGCCACTTTCAGCATTTACTTTAACACATTGAAACACATTTGCAATCGTTTGGTGCAACCTAACCTGATCTCTGTATACACGCACCGCACGCACGCACACGCACACATTTCGAACAATTATTATGATAAATGAGCATCCACAAATTTATTTACTGTTTACTATGTCGATTGCTTTCCAGGTCTTTAAATGCTCGATTGTAATTTGGTTGGGTCTTTGCTTTTGCTGACTGGATCCACGACCGATCTTGCCTTAGTTAGCTGGATCACACACACAACAGATGCAAATCCGAGCGAGTAACCTCCATGTAGTACACCTTGGATAATGTTAATACCGGCGCTACTCTATCATTCAACCCTCATAACTCGCAAAGTACTTAATAAAAATGAACATTATTATAGTGTTTTGGAAAGCTCTTGAATTAAGCTATAAGAATATGCAATCAAATGTAGGGGGTGTCATTTAAAAAAGTCAATGTGACCTTGACCTGACCTTGACGACGCCATCCAAGGTCAAACTGATAGAATCAGTATATAGATCTTCTTAAACCCTACAACTTTTGTTGGAAACACTTTTCTGTAAAACGTATATTTTCCGAGATATTTAGGGGTTTCCACACTTTTGGTAGACCCTGTATATGTAAAGAGAAGAAAGAGAAACGCTGCCCCGCGCGCGCGCGTACTTCCTTTCATTATTGACACATATATTATTACGATGTATATAATGACACACGCCCGGGCGAAAGGGAATCCGGTTCCTATTCCGGAACCCGGCAGCGAAACCGCATACAATTCGGGTTCTCGTAAGAGTGTTCGTCGGGGTAACCCAAAATGACCTGGAGACGCCGTCGGGAGATCCGGGAAGAGTTTTCTTTTCTGTATAAGCGTTCGAGTTTTCCTGGAAACCTCTAGCAAGGAAATAGAGTTTGGAACGCGAAGAGCACCGCTGTTGCGGCGATGTCCGAATCTTCCCCTCGGACCTTGAAAATCCAGGAGAGGGCCACGTGGAGGTGTCGCGTCGGTTCGTACCCATATCCGCAGCAGGTCTCTAAGGTAAAGAGCCTCTAGTCGATAGAATAATGTAGGTAAGGGGAGTCGGCAAATTGGATCCGTAACTTCGGAATAAGGATTGGCTCTGAAGAGCGGGACGTGTCGGCCTTGATCGGGAAGCGGGTCTGGCTGACGTGCCGGGCCTGGGCGAAGTGAATGGTCGGCGTTCTCGCGCCGGTCCCGGGATCTGAGGTCGGTCCCGTGCCTTGGCCTCCCGCGGATCTTCCTTGCTGCGAGGCTTCCGTGGCGGCGCGAGCCGTCGTGGTCGTCCTCTTCGGCCGCCATTTAACGCTCAGCTTAGAACTGGCACGGACTAGGAGAATCCGACTGTCTAATTAAAACAAAGCATTGCGATGGCCCTCGCGGGTGTTGACGCAATGTGATTTCTGCCCAGTGCTCTGAATGTCAACGTGAAGAAATTCAAGCAAGCGCGGGTAAACGGCGGGAGTATGACTCTCTTAAGGGTAGCATAGACTACTATGGAGTGAATTTTGATCTACTATTTACGTTTTTACTGGTAATTATCATCGAACGGTGAATATTTGACGATTTATAATAGCATCGCTTTCCGGCGTCATTTTGTCCGCTCGGTTGAGCCTAGTGGTGGTGCGCGATGAGCAGTCCTGGGCCTCCCCCCTCTCAAGCGGGGCCCCCTGTTCCAAGAATAAAAGAGATTACGATGGAGAGTTTTCGACTGCGCTCTGGTAGCGAGGGCTCGACGTCCCGTGGCCACGAAGCGGTTTCTCGTGGGGCGAAGAGAGCAGCGGTGTCCCCCCTGCAGATTGCCGATGATGCAGACCTGGGTCTTCCGCCCTTGAGCGACGTTGACTTGCAGAATATTAAGGATGTGCTTGCAGGACATGACTACAGTTTCGCATCCATAAATGCGGTAAGCAAAGAATCGGCAGTGAAGAAGAAGGAGTTGGAAGAGGTAATCGCGGCGTATCGTAGAGCTGTGGACAGGCTCATGATGGCCTATATCCAAATTAAGGCTGAGCGTGATACGACATCAAAGATGTGGCGGATGATGAGGTCTGGGCGGAAGGACGATTCTGAACGTGCTATTAATTTGGAAGTGTCAGAGATGGTGCGGGAGTCGACGAGTCTGGCGGTGCGTGAGGCGCTGGGAGAGTGGTGCTCACCCATTAACTTTCCGAGTGTGATCACTGCGCGTGGTGATAGACGCTCTTATGCTGGCGTTGCTGCTGCTGCGGGTACTGGGGTACTCCCACCTTCATCCGGTCGTGATGACTCTGTGTCCGGTCACCGTCGTGCGATGGAGACTATTGAGGTGACGCCTCGTGAATCTGTGAGCGATGGTCTTGCTGACTCGGCAGCCACGTGCAGTGCTGTGCTGGGCTCGATTAAACCTGGCGAGTCGGGCATCAAAATCGATCGCGTTATTAGAGGCAGGAATAAATCTGTCCGAATTGTGGCGGCTCATGACGACCTGGGTAAATTGAGGCCCATGCTGGATAGGATCGGAATGGATGTTAAACAGGTTGATAAACTAAACCCTAGACTAATAGTTAGAGACGTGCCGGCGGATGTTAATAGGCAGCACTTTATTGGTGATCTCGTCAAGCAGAATTTAGAAGATGTTAGTGAAAGCGATATTAAACTGGTGTACTGGTTTCCTGTCAAAGGTCGAAGAAACACAAGTGCGGTCATTGAGATATCTCCAGAAAGAGGATCTTAGAATCAGGATTTTGAATCAGGCTCGGATATATCTTGGCTGGTCGTCCTGTAGGGTTGCCGATCACGTGCAAATACTGCAATGTTATAGGTGTCTCAGTTTTGGTCATATTGCTAAGGATTGTCGTGCGGCCGCGGATATATGTGGACACTGTTGTGGTGCACATGAATCGAGAGCCTGTCCTAATAGGAATGATGCACGTAGGTGCCATAATTGTGTTGAGGCTAAGATGAATTCTGTTGACCACTCAGCG